TATATATATATAAGCAGTTGTAAAGCTGTTCAAGCATTGCTTCAGAAGCATTAGTTTTACTTTTTCTCTTACATAATCAAAAAGAAAACTAACAACAACAAAAAAATAATAATATGTAATTTAGTTGAGACAATTATAAAATACTGAGTTAGACCCTAGCACATAAAATCTTTTTGAACTTTCATGGGTTCTACGTGAATAAAAACATGGCTCAATTCAAGGTTTACAAAAAATTTCATTGACTCAGAGTACCAATGTTATGGCTTATCGTTAAATTAATTTTTTAGTAGGCAGGGGTATTATTGTGTAGTTAAGGCCACCGTATAACGAAATGACCAACTTATTTTAATAGATTCTCCTATTTTGCGCAAAGTTTTTTTTATTCATATCTTGTACTTACACTCTAGACAAAGTTTTTTTTTCCTAAAAAAAACACATATGAAAGTGAAATAACAGCTAACATATTAAAATGAAATAACAACTAAAATGAATGAAATTTCTCTTTTTTGGACTTGTCTTAATAGATTATTAATTTTAATTTGCATATTTCTTTTCGCCAGGTTCAAAATGTGAGATGGGAACCATCGATAATGCAATTCTGCCTCAAAAAATTTCAACAAAAAATGCAACTCCTAAATCCGCCTTGCTGCTGTTCTTCAAAAGAATGGCATAGGAGGAAAAAAAAATTTTTTTTTTATATTTTCAAACAAAGAATTTAGATATTATTTCCACTTATGAAGTGATACAGATAGATGCTGCTGTTTTAATAAGTGTTATTTTTGTAGTAACGTATTTAATATTTTAGATCAAAAGATACAACATAAGAGATGATATCTCCCTCATCAAACTGAATGCCCCCGTCAAGTTCAATGCGGGTGTGCAACCAGCATGTTTGCCGAGTCTTGGTTGGACGGCTAATCCTGGCTGGCACTGTTACGTCACTGGATGGGGGGAAACTAGAGGTAAGGAAAAATAAAATAACGAGTTTTTAAGAAGAAAAACTTATTTCGAAATTGAAAAAAAATAAAAAGAAGAAAGAGAAAGAAAGGGATAACGTTTAATTATGCACGGAAAGAAATATTCCGGCAAAAATGGCATAACAATAACATTGGTAAAACAAACGTAATTCTGGTTAATAAAATTGGGTATTTGTACCAGTCATTTGGTCTAGTCATGGGGTTTATCAGAAATTCTGAATTTCAATATTACAGTTCTTATTATCACCCAATTAATTAAAAATTACAAATAGTAAACAAAGTTGATCTGAAAAGTAAATTTAACCTAACAAATGATTTTTATGCAATGCTCTAAGGTATCATGATAAAATTACCAAATTTTGCCACATTTAGCATTTTTTTTCAAGTATTATGAAACGGCATTTTTTAGCTAATTTTACCATAATCATTCAAAAATTAGTGCGCTTTCTGATATTCTCATTGAACCATAAATACGGTAAATTTTGCCGCATTCTGATTATGACCATAATTTTTTCTCAGATCAGTGAATGATTTGTAAAAGCTGTTGCAAGTTGATTATTAAGAAAGTGCAATTAAACAACAATTTCAATTCACATTTTTCACACAAATGATCAAAAAAAAAACTGTCAATATAAGTTGATTTTAATTTTTTTATATTTATATTTACTTTTCAAGATGAGGAATTAATAAGTCCGAAAATTAAAAAGAATTTATTAATTAAAAAAAACATTTGAATCAATGCAAATTCCCCCTGCTTCCTTTTTCGTATTAATTTCTTGTTTTGTTATTTGTATGCTTTGCTAAAATATCTGTGCAGACTATATTTTAAGCTACGAACTCGGATACAAAAACGAGTTTTATGTGAATAAACATGCCTTTTTTACCCTCAAAATATGAATAGTCACAACATGGAAAATATAATCTCCGTTTTGAAAGTTTTGGCCAATGAATGTCACCTTTTTGATTATACCTGGAATTACAAGCAAATAATTTTTACATAAAGTTAGAAAACATCCAATGATTTTTATAATATTGAATTGTTTGGAAAGCAATTTTCAAACACAGACATATATATTTTTCTCATAGACAACTTCCTAATTAGGCCGCATAATCATTATATATGTATTTTGGCTGCTGATAAAGAAAAGCTTGCTTGTGAAAAAGTGTGATTGATTCTATGCAGATGTTTTGAGTTGGTTTCTTTTAAAAATATGCAAAGCAGAATTTTTGGTATATTTTACTTTAGTTTTTCGCTATCGAGAAGGTAAAAATAATGTTCAATCAAGGTTAAAAAAATTATCTGATGCTTACGCAGAATTTGTATGGGTAGTAAGCCAGTGCTACGACTGGTTTGCAAAATTTTGATTAACAGTTCATGATGATGCATCATGCCAGTTTAAGCTAAGATGCAATAAAAGCACTAATTTATGCAAGCCGGCGAATAATAATAACTCGCTGAGACATTAAATTTATCGAATTCGATTGTTCGGGATCATTAGAAAAGGGTTAATCTCGGCTTATGGTATCCTCGTGCCTGTGATTTGCTTCTCAAAAATACTATCCACTTTCAATAGGCATCATCAACTGGGGAAAAGAAATGGATTGTTTAAAACGATGTTTCGTTTTCTACAAAATTTTTTAGACGCTAAAACCTTTACTCTATAAAACCATTAAGAAAGTCAAAAAAACACTTGCAGCAGCTTTTTGCCAGCAATCATGCTACTGCCTGAGAGATGGCAAAGTATATTGGATTAGAATTGGCAAAATATGATTTAAAAAATATTTATTCACTATAAAAAAAAGTATTTATTCACTATTTCATTAAGAAAAAGAAATTATTATCTGAACAACTCAGTACCTCAAAACATTTATTTTTATATAATAACATGTAATTTTTCATTATTTATTTTGTTGTTGTTGTTCCTTATCCTCCAACTGTCTGACGGAGTCATACTAGGTTGTTGACCTTCAAAAAGTCGATGACAAGAAGTGGAGTAGCGTATGAGTCCTCCTTGGAAAGACCCAAGCAGTCAAGGATATGTTCGGCAGAGGCCTGCTGGGCTTCACATTTGGAGCAGACTGCATAAGTCTTTCTTCCTTCGTGTGTCCACTCGCCAATCTGGAAATAGCTGTTTGAGACGCTCTATCACCTATATGAACAAGTGAAGAGCCCGGTTCTTTGGCCGCATACCAGTTATGAGAGATCCTCTACTTTTTTGATCGATGGCTTTTGATTTTGGACTGATTCTCTAAGAAAGTAAGGGCTGAGGGCAAAGGTGTTGAATGACAACAGTCCTCTTTGGCCCAGCAATCCGCTTGCTCATTGCCAAAGATGTCAACGTGGGATATTATTTATTTTAATAATAGTAACAAAAATTTTCAATTATAGGGCATACATATTTCTACGTAATTTTCAAATGACAAAATCCAAAATTTGCAAACAAAAAAAAATGCAACTTTTTTGTATTTTATGTCCGAATACTAAAAGTGCGATTAATATTAAAGAGCTCAAACTTTCAACCGTTTTACCCACCTCAACTATTGACATCATATTTTCAATTTCGCGACTACCCCATATATTTTGAAAATCAAGAATATTTTGAAAAAAAGGTACGCTTATTCAGAGAAAGAGTATTTTTGCGTCTGAATTTCATAATTTAAATCATCGCTCGCACAGACAAATTTCAATTTAGCTCTTCAAACTTTTAAGATTGCCGTTTAGTTGAGGACACTATTTGAGCTATGCGAAGATAGTCCCCGAAAATGAGGAAAATCAAAAATTCAAACTGCATTCGTTTGACCATTTTTGGACCACAAATGACCACCCCTTAATTTTTTTGACCACCCTTATTTTGGTCATAATCCTAAAAATTAAATTCGGGGGCTAACTTCGCATTTTTTTGAAAAATAAATAAAATTCCAATTCTTATATTGTATTCGTTTGACCACTTTTTGACCACAAATGACCACCCTTTAATTTTTTTCCACCCTTATTTTGGACATAATCCTAAAAATTAAATTCGGGGGCTAACTTCGCATTTTCACGAAAAATAAATAGAAATCCAATTTTTATATTGTATTCATTTCACCGCTTTTTGACCACTCATGACCACCCTTTAATATTTTTTGACCACCCTTATTTTGGACACAGTCCCAAAAATTAAATTCGGTTACTAACTTCGCATTTTTTCAAGAAATAAATAAAAATCCAATTTTTATATTGTGTTCATTTGACCACTTTTTGACCACAAATGACCACCCTTTAATTTTTTTTTGTCCACCTTTATTTTGGACATATTCCTAAAAATAAAACTGGCGTGAAGTTAGCCCCCAAAATTCAGGAAAATAACAAATTTCAACTGCACTCGTTCAACTCGTTCAACTGCACAACATTTTTGACTACAAATGACGACCTTGAAGTTTTTCCGACAATTCTTATTTCAGTCTTTCTTTTAGCGATATCAATATAATATATTTTAATTATAGCTGACATCTAAACGTAGTAATGATCAAAAACTTTTTCTTGCAATATAAAAATTTTAAAAATAAATTCCAAAACGACTATGTACTTCAAATGCAATGATTATAATCCAGAGAAACGAGGAATGTTAAAAACTATATGTATAAGTTTTGTTCACTTTAATCGTATCTTTATTTTCTGCAATGTTATTTTAAAATCGTTTTACAAGTAGAAAAATAAAAGTTTAATAAGATGTAGTAAATCTAAAACATTTCTAAAACAATTATTAAGTAGTTATACTGTTTAAAAACATTTTTCTCAGTAATGATATATAAAATTTAACATATTTCCTCTATAAAAGAGTAGAAATAGTTTCATAACAATAAAGTTATTTTAGAAACCAATCATAACACCTTTTTCTCTAGTAGTGTATTAGCTCGCATTAACATTATATATATATAGATAGTAAATAGTAAATAGTTATTCTTCTTTAGCCATGGTACATAAAATTAGTTATATATTAAATTAGCATACAATAACAAGTATTATTTAGCTTTACTATCTAAGAATTCTTCATTAGCATTTAGGCATTTTATTTTAAAAAACATTGATTTTTGTAAAATATAGAAATAATTATATACAAAATAGAAACACATATCTTATCACTATATTAAATTACATTCTCAAATCTAAGAGTAGCTAAGAATTCTTCATTAGCATTTAGGCATTTTATTTTTAAAAACATTGATTTTTGTAAAATATAGAAATAATTATATACAAAATAGAAACACATATCTTATCACTATATTAAATTACATTCTCAAATCTAAGAGTAGCTAAGAATTCTTCATTAGCATTTAGGCATTTTATTTTTAAAAACATTGATTTTTGTAAAATATAGAAATAATTATATACAAAATAGAAACACATATCTTATCACTAT